GACCATAAAAGCGGGCAGCAGTAGTAAGTGGCAGTAGAGCTGTCTTAGCCCCCAGGCAGCCGGCGCCCCCGCCTCTGGCCATCTGCTGATGCGCCTTGGCTTTGGCTTGCTGCATTTATTGCGCTTGTTAAGGCCAACAGCGCAGCGGGCGGTCGGGGCGGGGCGGCGCTGCTGCGAGGGGCGCCGCAGCAAGTTAAAAAGTCATAAAATGATATTTATTTCATTTCGTTGCCGCGTAATGCGCACTAACCGGGTGGTGCTGTGCCTTGCGGGTGGCTCAGCCAGCCGCTGAAGCCATCCACAGTTGGAGCAGCTAAAGATGTGCTATAGATTTGCCTTTTATGTGAAATTTATATTTCAACGACCTAAACAGAGAGAGAGAGAGAGGGAGAGAGAGAGAGAGAGAGGGTGAACTCGAGGGGGATAACAGCTAGTCGGCGTAATAACAAAGAGTAAATCTACTTGTGTTGGGCGCGCGGGCTCGGGGGCGTGGCAGGGCAGTCGCACAACTATTTGCCGCTCGCTTTATAGAGTTGAAGCTCTTCTGACTTCTGCCCAGAGGCTGCTGCCGGCGCTGTGGAAATGTGGAAATGTGAAAATGTGGGAATGTGGGAATGTGGAAATGTGGAAATGGCAATGGAAATGCTCTGCTTCAGCCTTGTGGCTTTTTAATGTTTTCTTGTTAAAGTTTATTGAAAAACTTTGGACAGTCACGTTTGAGTAGTCAGCGGGTGCCCTAACTTATAACAGCGCACACACATATTTATATACATATGTATGCATGTATATATATATTTATATATCTCGTATCTGATGCCTGTCCAGAAATGAAACAGCTGCACGAATGCACGCCCCAACGCCCATGAAAGTGGAGCAAAGCGATTTTTTCCGTTTTGTTCGGCAAAAAGAGGAGCAAGAGAAAAAAAAGACATGGAAAACTGACAAATAAAACATTTTTGTGTTGTATTTTATGTGAAAGACGGACGTTGACTGGCCACGAGGGAGAACGTGAGTCAGAGAGAGAGGTGAGTGAGAGAGAGGGAGAGTGAGAAGAGCCCCGCCCATGTTTGCTCATAATTGAAATTTCGCGCTAAACAGGAAGTAGCCGCATTTGCTCTGCATTCCTAGACACTTGTTGTGCCTGGAAGGTTCACTAGGCAGGGCCAGCGCTGTCCATGAGAGTGCCGCAGTGCTGCTGAATTTATGGGGCAGCTGCAGCTGCGTTGGCCCAAGTGGAGAGCACATGTTGCACAAAGAAAATAATCGAGATCGGTTGCTTTTATTCGCTTGAAATAAATGCGCCTGAGTGCGCACAGTTTTTAGAAACCAAAATAAAGCGAATTTCATTCGCAATATGAGCAGAGAATACTTTAAACTGAATCTATGCGCCGATAAGAGGCTTTGCTGCTCCGCTGGCTTGGCGCATTATTGGTGTACTGTGCGATGATGCCTCGACTTTTGTCAATTCCATCATCATATATACATATATAGATATATATTGCATGCATATGTATTTGAGCTGCCTGAACACACTTTATCCTCTATTCGCGACATTTTCTTTAGCCATTCTAGCCCATTTATTTCAGCTCAGCGCCGTCGTCGTCGGCTCTGTCGCTGCTGCCACTTTGTATTGGTGTCCCTCTGTCATGTGGGGAGATCTCTGGCTGCAGCGGCACCAGCCTTGCACGTACTTCACGGTGACATGTGCTTCCTCTGTTTTATTTTTGTAGCAACTCCCCATAATATTTTTCTCTGTTATTTTCCACATGTGAAATTGAACTTTGCATCTTGGCGCAACGTGCCAGTGCGCTGCTCCGCTTTCCCCACTCCCTCGCGAGCAATGTTGCACTTGACTTGTGGCGCCCCCCTCCCTCGAACGTACTGCACCCTTCGTCCATAGCTCTTGCTTGTGACGTTGTTTTGACACTGCGAACGCGCGCGCGTGTTTATAAATAAATATTTGGTATATATAAACACACACACATGCACGCATATGTGTGCGTGAATATGGAAATATGTTTGAGAAATATTTCCACGCTTTTGCCTGCTTCAGCCGTTCGCCGCTGCCTGACAGCGCACATGTGTCGCATTTGGCTGACGGCTGCAGGGGGCGAGGCGGGGCGGTGTGCGGTGCTGCACCCCTTGGCTGTTTTTCCCTTTGAAGTTCATATAAAATTAACAAAAAACCAATTTACAGCACAAATGACGCGCTGATGAGCACAGCGCAGCCACCGTCGACTGCTGTTCGAGGGCGCGAAATGTTTGCATTGCAATTGAACTGTGCGCCGCCTCTGATCTGCGCTGAGCTGAGCTGAACTGAGAGCTGCCACGCCCCCTGGCTGTATTGCGCGTGTTGATTGCCCATCAAAACAAAGCCGGGCATGGCTGGAGGAGCGCAGCTTGAGATTTGCCTACAACAATCGAGTGCGCATAAATCGAATGCTAATGCCAAGAATTTCAACTTCATACATACATAAACGAGTGTGTAAGTGTGAGTGTGCGTGTGTGTGTGTGTGTATGTTTGTGACAGTAAAGACTTGTGAACATAAAAATAGTGACGATTATGATGAAAATATTCATGCGACAAACGGAAGCCGTAGCCAAGTGCCATGACAATGTCCCAGGAGCCAGCGTGTTGCCCCTCTCCACCTCACACAAACGTATGTGTGTGTGTGAGTCGTTAATGTGGCAACGTTAGGCAGCACATTCGAGTTCCATTTAAATGCGCCACTATCGAGTGGGGCGAACTCTTGAGAGTCTCAAAAGTCAAAAGATGGAAATTGCCCAAGAAACGGTCGGCATTTTAAGCTCTCAAGTGCTTGGCTGCTAATAAGTTAAGAGGAAGCAGCAGACCTGGCAGCAGCAGCAGCAGCAGCAGCACACATAATTAAATTTAATGCCCAATGCGCAGGGCAAACAGTCAGACGAGGGCGTAGCTGGGGGCATGGCAATGTCTATATCGAAAGCATCGAAATTCAATTTACAACAAAATCCCGCGCGCTGCCATAGCCAATGCCAAGCGAAATAGAAAATGCCAGAAAATGTGTCTCGTTTTAGCCCAAATCCTGTCATAAATTGCTGCCAGTCCAGCCGAGCACTGCGAGCGGCAACAAAAGACAGACGCCCAGACGGCATCCAAAAGGAAAATATGCTGATGTCGATGTCGAAATATGATTTGTTTTTTTTTTTTCTTTTTTTTCGAGTGGCTGACATCCTAGCATAAAAAACGTTGCTCGTTGGTAGTCTGGGAAATGAGATATGACCGATGTTGCTGCTGTTGCGACGACTGCTGCTGCTAGAGTTGTTGTTGTTGCTGCTGCTGCTGCTGTTGTTGTTGTTGCTGCTTCAAGGTTAGCTGCTCTATAATAATCTGAGCGTAAATTACAACAACCAGTTGATGGCATCGTAAAAAGCACTGGGCACCAAGTTGTAACAACACTTGGACACACACGCACACACACACACACACACACACACACACACACACACACACACGCACACACTCAAACACATGCTCGACCTCGCAAATTATAAAGTTGTTTGGGCCAAAACTGCTGGCTGGCAAGTTTTCGTTCAAGTTTTCCCTTTCTTTTTTTTATTGTTATTTTTTCTTCTCTTGTTTTTTTGTTGTATTCTATTTGGATAAAAGAAGCTGCAGCACGTTTTATGTAACGCACATTGATAAGCATTTTGGCATTTGTCGGTGAATGATTTGCAAGTTTGCACAAACTGCTTGCACAAGGCGCCATTTTGTGCAAACGTGTGCGAATATCTATCGGCATCAGAGAGTGCGGCTGCCCTTTTGGCACAGTTTCCAGCACGGACGACCAAGTGGGTCGGCTGGAGACAGTCCGCCAGACCCAGAAGCAAAGGGGCGCCCTCGAATGTTTCGTCTGCTGGCCAAGCGGATGGCTCGAGCTCGCTGCAGGCACAGCTTTGCATAGCTTCAACTTCAATGCGAAAAGTTTGCCTTTCAGCAGTTGGCAGGCGAGTGAATATGATTGCAATAGCCAGCGATCTAACTCAATGACTAGATGAACTCTTTGATTATGATTTGATTTGTTTGTAGCCCTCGAGCGTTGTGCCGAAATCAAAGGGTATTTCGTGGAAGAGCATGCCTAATGAAACATATCATTCAATAGTGTCTGCCCAGAATATTTATTGATACTCGAGTTGGACAGGGATTTCTGTCGAAGGAAGTTGGCGTGTTTGTGAAGTCGATTCTGCTACTTTCTTAGGGCTGTATTTATATAGAATTGAAAGTATTTGGAATTTAGTAATTGTTTATTTTCTATCACTCTCTCTCTCTCTTTCTCTCTCTCTTTCGTTCGCTCACGCCACTTTCTCTGTCTCTCTGTCCACCTGTCCTTCTCTGTCTCCCTTTCTAATTCTCTCTCTCACGCCACCATTCTTTGTCTGTCTCTCTCACTCCACCTATCTCTCTCTACCTCTCTCTCTCTCTCTCTCTCTCTCTCTCTCTTCTTTCACTCTTTCTCATGTCTGTCTCATCACCTTTCTTTTTCTTTTCTCTCTCTCTCTCCTTCTCTCTCTCCCTCTCTCTCTCTCTCTCTGTCTATTTCTTTTTCTATCTTGCTTTCTTCTTCTCCTTCACTATATCCATCCATATCTCAGTTTCTTACTCTCTTGTTGTTTATCTCACTCGCACCTCTCTTGGCTCGAAAATGTTTAAACACATAATATTCTGGCCTGGCCTTTATCATTGCAGCCCAAAGTCCTCCTCAGCATCTATCCTAAAGAGCTACTGGATCGTGTCTTAACCTGAATATTTCCCTCATATGTAGGTCTTGAGGATAGATGCTTAATGCCTCCTCAAGCCTTTCCCACATTTTTTATCAAAAATTAATAAATTAATAATGAGTCCATATCATTTAATTTCCCGTTAACAAATGTCATTTGGCAAGGTCTTTGCCAGGTGATTGCAGGGTATATGCTGGCCAATCACTGAAATTGAAAAGTGTGTTTGGGAAACGTGTACTTACTGTTCTTTTGAAAATCCTGGGATTCCTCTTCCGCTCGAATCGCCGTCGGCTGCTGTAGCAACAGCAAAAACATCATCGAAACGACAATTGAAACCGTTTTCCCTGTGAACAGCGCCGTTCGCGTTCGTGATTTTCGATGTGTGTTGTGTTCTAGTTGCTGTTGTTGTTGTTGTCGTGGTCGTTGTCGTTCTTGTTGCTCTGGTTGTTTTTGCCAATTGGCGAATGTGGCTACTCCTGAAGTTGTGAATCGCATTTTTGTGGTTCCTGTTGCAGTTGCAGTTGCAGTTGCCATGTCGCTTGCTGGTATTAAAAATTGTATTGTAGTCATCGCGCTGTAGTCGAACGAATGAACTTTTCGTCATTTATGGCGCGCTCTTCAGTTTCTCCAAAGGGTCAAAGGAACGAAACGAAAAGCGAATAGACCAACAGCTAGGGCAATACATGAGGTTGCCTGGGCGCCAATAGACAAATGCCTCAGTCAGTCTGTGTGGGTGTATGCGTGAGCGCGTTTTGTTTGAGCTGTTGTTGGCTATTTCCGTTTCCGCTGGCGTTTCCGCTTTTGACTTTAATGAAGCGCCAACGCGCCTTTAGTTCGCTATCGTCTTCAACTTGGCCCATAAAAGGCACATTTCAAATGGCATTTGGATGTGAGTCAGCCGCTGCTTGTTTGCCCTCAGCTGCTTTCAAATCGAAAGCGAGTCCTGCTGCCACGGGAATCTTAATGTCCTTTTACATGTTTATTTGCACTTTTATTGCCTTCTCGGCATGGCGGATTGGAGACGTCCCTCAGCCGGCAACTGCAAATAGAAGAGCGAAAGGCAGAAACAAAACATGAGACATGAAACACGAGCTCAACAATAACATCCAAAGGTTCTGCTCTTAAACATAACAAAACCAGGACAACGGCTCCCAATTCGGATGGATATACATATATTGTTATGCTACGTTCTACATATATACTTCAAACAATGTTATGGAGTTTGCATAGCACAAGTATATATATTGCATGTATATATGTTTATATATATATGAGTTGAGTCTTAGGGAGCATTCGGCCAGGCCGAAGTTAACTAGCTGTACTCTCGACTTTTGTCGTTTGCTGCTTTCGGCAAATATGAAGAGTGCTAATAAAATGTTTTACTAACTCGCACACACACGCGCACATCAAGCAAATTGAACTCATAAACTTGGCCAAGGGGGTAAGCGACTGCTTTTATTGGCATAGAAACTGCTCTCGATGCTCGCCTGCGAATTGCCTGTTTTTATGAGGCAAACGCATCGCATCGATGAGGTGTGATTAATGGCACATTTCAATGCGAGTCTTGTAATTAAGGCGCGGCGCAAGTCGATTTATTGACGTTGATGCCACAGTCCAGTCCAGCACGGGGCATACCTGGACTCTGGCCCCGCTCGAGCAGGAACTGCAGCCATTTAATTGCGTGCTTAGCGCGAGCGTCGCTCATTAGGCAACGCATAAAAATTGATAAACCAACCCCCAGCAGGGCAACGAGCTGCCTACCGCACCCCACCCCCACAACAGAGGCTCGCCCCCTCTCGACCAGCGATGCGTTGCAGCCACGGCCTATTTAACCGGGCGCACACACTGTGGTTGCATTAATTGGGTGAGGCTGGTTGCGACAGCAGTGGTGACAGGCAGCAGAAGAGGTCTGCTACTCCTGCAACTCCTGCTGCTGCTGCTGCTGCTCCTGCTGTTGCTGCTGCTGCTGCTGCGGCTCACCCAAGTCCAGGTCAGCGTAATTATGCAACATTTGGGGTGGACCTTTTTCAGCCACGTTGTTTAATGAGTAGCACACCCACACACACACACACACACACACACATTACACTCTGTAATCTGCGTATAAATAAAAGAAGCAAAGTTCATAAATTTTTATGAACTTTGGAGAGGTGCTTTGATTAGAATGATAAGCGAACGAAATAAGGCCCAACTGTCTGCCGTTTGCATTTGATTGCAGAGCTGAAATTTGTTACCTTCTCAATGCCTGTTACCTGCAAATAGGTGAGCCAGCCTGTCGGCTCGACCGCAACTTTGCTCATTAGTAAATTTTATGGCGCCAGCTGCAGTCGTGGAAAACATCGCAACATATAACATGAGTAGTTTTCCGCTTGCTGCTCTTGTCAGCTAGTTGGAATATTTAATTACTGATTAATTAACTCGGCGGCATTAGCGCCATTCATTGGGCAGCGCCGTTGGCCAAACTGAACTTGCGGCTGGATTTGCTAATTAAAAAAGTTTCGCCAGCAAAGGACAATAAGGTGTTTATCCACCCAACATTCTTGATCCACTTGCCGCCTTCTCTGTCTGTCTGTGTGTGTGCGTGTGTGTGTGCGTGTGTGTGTGTGTGTGTGTGTGTGGCACAACTTTTGACATTTATTGACAGCGGTGTACACATGCGTTAACAGTCCAGTGTAGTCTGAGCTGGGGTCTCTGGCTTCCTCTTTATAAATAGCCTGGCAAAAGTTTTGACTAAATTTACTATTTGCTCTGCAACCGGCGTCTTTTTGGTGTCTTATCTATTTATATATTATATATTATGTCGAGCCCTGGACCCTGAGGCAATTACACATTTGCTGCTTTTCGGCTATTGATTGGCTTTCAGCACAGGTGTCCGACCCAGGGCCCGCCCACAGCGGCAGCTTGTCTGGAACATGAGTTGAGCCTTGTCAAATTACCGCAGCCACTCCATCATATTTAATTCAAGCACTGGCAGGTGCAGCCAGTCACCCACACACATACACACACACATATATAGTCTGTCTGTGAGGGAGCGTAAATTTATGAGCAAATGCTCAACTTTGCCATAAATGTTCATCATAATGTGACACAATTTCCTCAAGATTTAACGCCGCATCAACTCGGGCGCCGAACCATCGAATGAGCTTAAGGAATTCGAATGCGAATGCGTATATGGGTATGAGTATGGGTATGGGTATGAGTTGGGGGTACGGCTATGCGGGTGTCATGGCCATTGTGGCATACGCCATACCCCATGCCTCCACTCCTGCAACTCTCATGGCTCATAAAGTGGCTGGGCGCATAACTCGTTTTACTTTTGCTTCCGCACAGCGGCTGATGGCAGCTGACATAAATTTTAAAATGAAATAAAAATAATAATATTATAAGAAATATACATTTTAGCTGAAGTCGAGGCGTTGACACACCAACACACACACGCATAGATATTTATTATGTGGATAGACATAGCATTGGTGCTTATCTGGCAATGAGTGGGCGTGGCAGTTGGCACTGAGTCCTGACGGGCAATCACAGTTCGTGCGATGACTGTGCCCTAAGATGCTGTCAGGACGCGGCGACAACAAGAGCACAGCACAGATTGCAATTGCCACAGTGTGTGTGTGTGTGTGTGTGTGTAATAACATAAGCGTGCGTCTGACAAGCATAAGCACCGCTGCTGTCACTGTCATAGCAGCAGCAGCAGCACCATCACCAGCATCAGCATCAGCAACAGCGCCTGCCAGCAATGCGTGTTATTACACCGCGCGGCATACTTTTAGCGCCACTCAAAGCACATTTCACTTTCAGCATGTGTTTGTGAGAGTGTGTGTAAATAAAAGTTGAATTATGACAAAAGGCATGCATCAGGCAGCAGCAGCAGCAGCAGCACCAGCAACAACAACAATAACAATAATAAGAACTATGGCCTGATAATGCGCTCTTCACTGACTTGGCCCGACTTCCAGCGTGTGTTTACGTTAAACTTGTCGTATGCGCAATTTGTGAAATATGCGAGCGCCTTCTCAGCCAACATGAGCAATAACATGCTCCATGTGTGTGTGTGCGTACGTGTGTAGTGTGTGAGTAAGCAATTAGTTGCCTTTTCAGCTGAAATAAAAGCAATTCGAATGAGAGTTCTGTGTGGGTCTCCGACCAAGTCAGAGGCGTAGGCTGAGACGGAGACGAAGATGGAGGCGACGTTAAACAAACAGCAGCTCATTAATATCCTTTATGCGTTTATTACACCACCCGGCAGCATCTTATGAAAAAGATTAATAAATGCGCAACGGCGCAGCCGGAACAAAAACAATAACAAAATGAGCAACGAGGGGGCGGGGCCGGGAAAAGAAAAAAAAAACAGTTTAATTAGTTAAACAATGGCAGAGTTCCTAACGCATGGTCGCTCGAATCAATCAGACAATGTTATATTATTAATAGCCACAAAACGTTCCACAAAATCATTTATTAACGCCACTTAATGGCCATAATTCGAGAGCATTGAATAGGCTTACAGCGATTACGTATGCCCATAATATAATAATTTCGCTCAGTTTCCTGCATAAATTGATCAGCTGACATTTTGGCCTGAATTCTCTCGCACCGATTGCAGCTTGAATAAGTAAATATTTTATTTAGGTAATATTTTCTTTTGTTTGCTCTTTTATTGTTATTCAATTTTAGTGTTTTTGTCACTTTGGCCTATTTCGCTTTTCTTTTTTTTTTTTTTTTTTTTTGTCAGCTACACGTGAAATCGTTTTATTAGACTGCGCTCATTCATTTGCACTTTTTACCCTTTGGCTGCAAATAGGACAAAGCAAACCTATGCAAATGCTTTAAAAAGTTCAGCGTGGATATCTGGTTGCACGAGGAGCAGATTTACATGCATTTCACATCAGCCCCAACAGCATTCAGCTTCGTTATTCATGCAAAGGGCTGCTGCAATTTCAAAAATAAAAATGTTTTTGTTGCTGTTTTTTGTTGAGCCCTTAAAAGGTGTTCATTTAAAGTGATAATTAAATTTTTATAAAATTTTATTTCAGTGCATTTGAATGAAAATGGAGTTTTGTATGGCACAATGAAGGGGTGATCGAGCAGATTTAATATTGTTTGTAAAACATCTTTTTAAATTATCAATAATTTCCAGCTGTTGAAATTGTGAAAATAATTTCACATTCATTTATGAATTTCTAAAGGCTTACAAAAATATTACATATTTTCAGCATCAATTGAGATTTCAACTGAATTTTCTAGCTAAATTATCTAAATTATCATTCCATATATAGATAAATAGATAGATAGATGGATAGATTGATAGTTTGATATTGATATATCGATAGGTCGGTATATCGATAGACCGATATATTGAAATATCGATAGATAGATAGATAGATGGAATGATGGATAGATGGATAACCGATGGATAACTAGATAAATAATTAGATGGATAGATATATTGATATATCGATATGTCGATAGATCGATAGGCCAATAGATCGATGGATAGATAGACAGATAGATAAAAAGATAGATAGATAGTTAGATAGATGGATAGATAGATAGATAGATAGATAGATAGATAGATAGATAGATAGATAGATAGATAGATAGATAGATAGATAGATAGATGGATAGATAGATAGATAGATAATATCTATTAGATATATAGATAGAATGATGGAATGATGGATAGTAGATGGATAGATAGACTGATAGATAGATAAATAATTAGATAGTGAGATAGATAGAAAGGTTTATGGACGTAGTTAATGCAACCTTATGTTTCTTATCACCTTCCATTTAATAGTCTACGTATTTTATGGATAAGGTTCATATACATATTGACACTGCTGAGATATCAAAATACAATCAAAAACAATTTGTCGCCTTTCACTTTATAGCCCAACTGTTGTTTGTGGATCATTCTTTATTCACACTATATATATGTACATTTGGATTAACGATTATATAATCTCCCTCAATTTATAGTAACTCTTGCGTATACTCTTGCCAAGCTCTAGTTGACGTTTAGGCTAGGTAAAT